AACTCTCCTCTGGATTATGCATTATCTATTCTGTCCCCTGATTATCATGAGTGGGAGTTGAGATACCCAGACTTGCCATTTTTCTTGTGTTTTTTGGATTACTCTACCCATTTGGGATGAAAGTTAATACCAGTTTTGTGCTAGAACACTATCTTAAGGCAAGCATCAACCAAAGTCTGTAGTTGCACAGTCAAAAGTCTGCAGATACAATCTAGTTCAACAGATATATCTGTTCAACATCAAATTAATGGGCTACAAACTGCAAAGAAGAATTTGGCAAACCAGAAATTATTAGGTTTAGGGAGAGATGTGGGTAAAAATAGGAATATAGGGATGTGGGGAGGCACAGGGAGAGTTAACGTATACCCCTAAAATAAAAATTATAACAGGAAGAAAAAAAGTTACTAGAAAACAATTTTTTAAGTTAAAAATTAAAAATTTTTAAAAGTTTTAGAAAAAAAATTTTTATAAAAGGTACAAAAAAAAGTTCGATTTTTTTGGGGGGATAGGAAGATCCTGTATCTCCCTTGTGTCTGTAACCAGTCTCTTGTTGGAGTCTCTTGTCTGCTTGTGGTGTTTGATTTTCCTGTGGCTTGGTTGGTTTCTTAAGTCAGTTTGTTTGAGCAGGCAGAAAAATGCTCTGCTTTACCCAGGAGTTTGTGATCCTCCTCCCAGGCTAGTTCAATTGGAGGGAGATCTTCTTTGAGTATCACAAAAGAGGGAGATGGCTGTTTCCTCTAGTTTGGAGATGCTGTGATAAGCCTAGGTTCTGGGTAGGGTTGAGGCCTTTCAGCAAACAGTAGCTTTTCCCTGAGGGGCTACCTTCTGAAAGACTCACAGAGCCCAGTCTGGAGCCATTCTCAGGGTTTATGTTTACCGAATTTCAATTGAGTGTCAAGGCTGCTAAAGGGAGGGGCAGCCTCTGGCTCTGATTACCCAGTGAAGAATGCCATTATTAGGGCTGGCGCCCAAGCTGGGTGACTTTTCCCTGGGTGGAGCTGAGCCTGCCAGGTCAGGTTAGGTACCTGTGACCTGCTAAATGGCTCTTGTTTTCTTCCAAGGCCTGAGTTGGAGCTGGCAGCTCAGCCAGGCCTTTGTCAGTATCAAAAATGGAGATCTCCAGTAGTGGGGGGAAGGGGTGGCCTTCCCTTCTCTGCTCCCTGAGAAGGTGTGAGGATGTCAGGCTTCTACTCTCCCCGAGTCTTGGTTCCTGGGTCGTCTGGTCTGTGAACTGCAGGATGAAGAAGTCTGCTCCTTGTCGGTTCTTGCTGGTGTTGAGTAGAATCCACTCCCCCGCCGCGTCTGGCTCCTTCATCCCGGACTCTCTGTGTTACAGGTATGGCGGCTACAGCCACCTCTGCTGCAGCCGCAACTGCGGCTGAGGTTGCTGGCAAGTGCTCTGATCTGTCTCCTTGCCTGGATTTTCCTTCTCTGGCCTAACTCTCTGTACTGTGATGGCACACTTGGTGTGATTCTCTGGCTTAGGACTGTTCACTGGAACACTAAAACTGCTTTCTATGTGGGAGCTTGTTTAGCCTCCAGCTTCTCCTCCGCCATCTTCCCAGAACTTAGTCTCCTGTCCATTTTTTCTAAGGGAAAGTTCCACTTGATTATGTAACTCCATTCTTCAAGAAGCCCAATCAGCACTCGGACCCAAGTTCTAAACTGCGTTCCACTATTAGAAGACTGTCTTCCTAAACGTGGGGTGATTTTTGTAGGTGCAAATGTAGTCTAGAATAGAATGTACATCACTATTTGAGGTATGATCTGAAAATCACTAGTTGAAAGTGGTTATTTGTAATCAAACCTGATCCTGGGTGCAGTGGCTAACAACTGTAATCTTAGCTCCTCTGGAGGCTGAAAAATGAAGATTTTGATTTGAAGCCAGCAAATGCAGAAAAGTGACCATGAGGCTGTTATCTCCTATTCCCCTCACAAACTGCAAATGTAGCTGGGACTGAAACTAGGAGAATGTTAGCTTTGAGCAAAAGAGCTGAGTTCAAGCCACACAATTGGCAAAATAAGTCCAAAGCTGTGGAATGTCAGCCAGGGAGTGGGTAAGAAATGAGAAACAAGGTTGAGGAGCATCTTTGTGAACATGATTTTTAAGACCTTACAGTAATGATCACCCAGCCTGAGCAATAGTTCTCTACTTTTTAATAACAGGACACTGTGTTCCTAAACCTAAATTGATTGCCAAGCTGGAGCAAGGTGCAGAACCATGGATAAGAGAAGCCTCAGACAAGAATCTCACAGGTGAGATAAAGCATCTTGCATAGTGATCTTGCAGCCAGAGCCCACTTGGTAAGTTTAATGAGCTGTACTGAGCAATAATGTTCTTAGTTCCCTGAGTCATGTGTGGCAGAGAACTTGGTGATCCTTTGTCTCAAGGGCCTATCAATCAAGAAGTCACATGGAGACAAACTGAATTTGGTGTCCCAGTATAGTTAAAGTGAGCAAATTTCTCTTTGTAGAAATCATTCTTAAACAGAAAAGGAAATGAGAAAT